TGATGCTGTGTCGTGCCCTGTGGTAATTGACAGAACCAAAGGCAGCTTACCGCTTCAGAGAAATATCTCTGTCCCTCTTTGATTTCCTCAGATTGGAAGGACATATTAAATTCTCGCATGGATAATAATCCTGAGAAGAGTAGTTGTCTTAACTGGTGGAAATGGGATTCTTGTCCTTCCCAAACAGATTCCCTCTGTTATACTTGGTCCAGTGTCCTGTGGAATACCAAAGGTCCCCGCTGGACTGCTCCCACAAGTCTTTGCCAGTCCTTAAAACCGTTTATCCATTTCACTAAAGGACTTGCTCCTCCCCATTGTCAATATAACCAATGTAACCCCGTATAGCTTACTATCACTATTGCCACATCCTGAGACTCTTCTCCTTCATTAGGTCATGTTTATGGTATAGGGGCTGACATCTCAGGAAAGGATCCTAGAGGATTATTTGAAATATGTTTTGTTGCCGGGCACAGTGGCTCACGCCTGTAATCCCAGCACTTTGGGAGGCCAAGGCGGGTGGATCACAAGGTCAGGAGTTCAAGACCAGCCTGACCAACATGGTGAAACCCCATCTCTACTAAAAATACAAAAATTAGCTGGGTGTGGAGGCATGTACCTGCAATCCCAGCTCCTCAGGAGGCTGAGGCAGGGGAATCGCTTGAAACCGGGGCGTGGAGGTGCAGTGAGCCGAGATTGCACCACTGCACTCCAGCCTGGGCAACAGAGCAAGACTCCATCAAAAATAAATAAATAAATAATACGTTTTGTTGCTCCTTCATCCCCTCATCCTCAGACTATTCCCCCTATAAGCAATAACAAGACCAAGATAGATATGGTAGAGGTAAAAATTTAAGGCAAACTTAAATTGAAACAATTGAAGCAACTGAAACAGGGTACCAGGAGGCAGATGCCTGGCTGGGATGGGTTAAATATTCCATCTGCACTGTAAACAAAAGCAATTGTTACACTTGTGTGCATGGTGGACCAGAGGCCCTGCTGGTCCCCTTTTCACTCGGATGGTCCTCTAGATCAGATATAGACTGTATGATAGCTTTTTTTTCCAAGACCATACAGCCTGGGGTAATAAATTGTGCCAGACTCTCTCCCTGCTATTTCCTGAAGTCCAGCACCCTGTGGGTCAGCCTCCAAGGGCCATCCAGCCTCCATCTTCCAAGGCCAATTTTGCCTCGTGTCTCTCCTGACGGGGGAAACTTGGCGTTCCTAGGAAAAAGCATTTTCAAGAGCTTACCCATCAGTCTGCCCTTATCCATCGTCGAGCAGATGTTTGGCGGTATTGTGTTGGACTTTCATGAGACACACTGTAACTGGAGTGGTACCTGCATTCTAATTCAATCCTGGTGTTTCACCCACCAGAGAAACTAACAGCTAAGCACCGTAGTACAAGAAGTGCACCTTGTAAGTCTTTTGATCCTAATGTTTATATAGATGCCATTGGGGTGCCACGAGCGGTACTAAATTCAAAGCTCAAAGTCAAAAAGCTGCAGGGTTTGAGTCATTGTCTGGGACACTAACTATGAATAAAATGTAGACTGGATAAATTATATGTACTACCACCAGCAACGATTTGTTAGCTATACAGCAGGTGCAATTAAACAAATAGCAGAGCAATTAGGACCTACCAGTCAAATGGCCTGGGAAAATAAAATAGCATTAGACATAATATTAGCAGAAAAAGTGGGGTTTGTGTCGTGATTGAAGCTCAATATTTTACTTTTATCCCTAGTAATACTGTCCGTGACAGAGCTATAACGAAGGCACTATAAAGGCTTACTACTTTGTCCAATGAGCTAGCTAAAAATTCTGGAGTATATAATCCTTTCACCAGCCTGACAGAAAAGTGGTTCAGCAAGTGCAAAGAAATCACAACCTTAACCTTCACCTCACTTGTCCTTATAGTCAGTGTGCTTATGCTTGTAGGATGCTGTAGCATACCCTGTATCTGAGGCCTTACACAAAAACTTAACGGAAACTGCTGTCACCCAGACCTTTTTCAATTCTCCCCCACCTTATTCAGATAAGCTCTTACTTCTAGACCAAGTGGAATGGCAAAGTCAAGACATGTTAAAAAGGTTTAAGGAAGAAAGATTATAAAAACAAGAGGGGGACATTGATAGCTATAGTGAAATTCTTCCTCAAGTAAAGCATAATCTGTCTCCCCGTTCTTTGATTTTTAAAAGGCCTAATCCACTTGTTCCCTGATCTGCCAGGGCATACCTGAACATGCCCAGGCGTGTCTTAGCTTGTAGCATATACTCCTTTCCTTATTTGGATATGTTATCGCTTTCCTAGCCTTTTCCCAAGCCACGAAAGCCACTTCCTCCCTTCCTTTGATCTCCATTGCTTTTACCTATTTAGGAAAATTTGAAGCTTTTAACCAATCAAATTTAGTTTAGAATGTGTGGTCCAGCTCCAGCCAATGGAGACTGGACACGGTGGTAGAAGCCTCATGTATTAGGGATAAAAAGCCTTCCTCTCCTTTGTCTGGGGTGCTCTCATGGCACTCAGGCTCACAAGCAGCACTCTCCTGCAGAAGTAAAATTGCCTTGCTGAGAACTTTTTTGTTCAAGTGTTCATTTCCTTTGCGACTCCAAACTTTTACTTGCAACACACCTGATTCTAGATCTGCTCCTATATAGGAGGAAGGCAACTCCACTGCCAGGATTACCTGTGGGGTGACTGTATGGGAATCCCCTACAGTGTCAGAATACAAAGACATTATTTCTGGGGCTTTTTGATTGAGTCACGAACTCTGCTTTTTTATTGGTGTAGACTCAAGGCTGCCTTGAATCCTGGATGGATCATGGGGCTGGTGAACTTCTCCCCACTCTGAGGCTCTGCCTAGCAGGTGATTCTTCTTGGCTGGATGTCCTCTTGGCATGGCTGTGGATTGCAGTTCCCCTCACCTGTCTCTATTCAGTTGTCACTTCTTCAGCCAGTTCAGTCTTCCAAATATCTGTTGAAATCTCTGATCTCCTGTTGGTCTCATTCAAGCTTTTATTGGCAGCAGAGAGGGTACAGAGGCAGTGTGTGGGTTGTGGAGTCCATAGGGTCAGGTTGGAACCCAGGCTTTAGCCATTAATAGATTTCAGACCTTGGCCAAGTCACCAAACATCTGTTTCAATTTCCTTATCTGTTGATGATGATACAAATGATACACACTTCAAAGGTTCTTCAAAGAGTACAGTGAGTGTTTTCTAACATGTTAGAGCAGTTAGTGGTGCAAAGTCAAGTCCACACATGTTCACCACTATTAGCATTAGTGGCTATACTAGTCCATTCTCACACTACTGCAAAGGAATACTTCAGACAGGGTAACTTAGAAAGAAAAGAAGCTTAACTGGCTCACGGTTCTGCAGCCTGTATAGGAAGCATGGCAGCATCAGCTTCTGCAGAGGCCCAGGGAACTTCCAATCATAGCAGAAGGTGAAGGGAACTTTAGGAGGAAACCCTGGAAGAAGGCTCATGATGAAAAAAGTCAGGCACCGAGAGCCCAGGGGAGCCTCAATTAGCACCACAAAGGCTCAGGATCAGTGCTGACGGAACCCAAGTCTCCAGAACACAAGATGGGGAGAGCCAGGTGAATGTGAGATACCATCTTGTCCAGCCCCCCTTCTCAGCTGATGAGGAAACTGAGGCTCAGACAGGTGGGTCTCGTGATCACAGGCAGGGCTGAACTCCTGGACACACCTCAAGATTCCTTGACCTATTCCTGGCATCACGTTTCACTTTTTGTTTCTTCCCAAATTAAACTCTTTCCAACACAGCATTTCAAGTTCCCTTAGAACTTCTTCAGTCCGTCAGCGTCCCTTGGCCTGTAGGAGCTCCGGCCCCCGGCCAAGGTATCCCCCACTCTGCTGTCACCACCACCACCATCATCACCGTTATGAGAAACACCTGAGACTGTAACGACCCACAAAGCTTGGAAGAAGCTGTGAGGCCACAAAATGACTCGAACAAGTTCAGCTTGGCAAGTGGGTGAGTTTATTAGGACTTACACACAGGGCACTGCTGGGTGGCAGCAGGACAGCTCTAGAGATCTGCACCTCCTCCCAATGCTCATCTGCTTTTATGCTGATTTTCTGGCTGTTTGCCTACTGGGTATGAGTGATGAGTCTACTGTCATTGGCTGGTTCTAAGATACTCTCTGGGAAGTTTGGGTTCTGAGGGACAGCTGCTCCTCAGCTGGGGACCATGGCCATGGCACACCACCTGCCCTTCAGGGTTCAAGCAGGGAACATGCACCCTTTAGTAACCTGGAGGGGACCCATCACACGGCAACCACCACTGCCACCACCATCAGGAAGCCACTGCCTGACTGAGATACGCCCCAAGGAGGACAAGGGGGAGTGGGTGCTGGAAAGACAGAATGAGAGACCACCAGGGAGACTTCGCTCTCGGAAGGACATCACACGGGGGCGGGTCGACAGTGGAGCCGCTGTTTCTTCTCCTGTATCCCACACTTCTAACTCTTTGCTTTCTCCATTTTCAGCTTTCTTTTCCTGGCCTTCTCATTGCTGGTTCCTGCACGCCCCCTCTATTCCTCCCCGCAGCACATTCTTTAGTCTAAAGTAAATGGCTTGTTCCTATTCCCCACACTCTCCAGTCCTCTCTCTTCCCTTATTCCAGGCTCCAGCATTCCTGCCTTCTCCTTGGCACACTTGCCATCTGCATTAACCCCTTCCCTGCTGTGTTCTGCTACAGGAATGCCAAAGTCACTAACGCTCAGTTCCATCAACTTTACCTCGTTCTCTTTATCCATCTAATAAAATGTTTGTATTTTGGCCATGCGCCGTGGCTCACTTTTGTAATCCAAACTTTTGGAAGGTTGTGGTGGGCGGATCATGAGGTCAAGAGATCGAGACCATCCAGGTCAACAGGGTGAAACCCTGTCTCTACCAAAAAGACAAAAATTATCTGGACCTGGTGGTGGGCGCCTGTAGTCCCAGGCACTTGGGAGACTGAGGCAGGAGACTCGCTTGAACCAAGAAGGACGCTGCAGTGAGCCAAGGTCACGCCACTGCACTCCAGCTTAGGTGACACAGTGAGACTTCATCTCAAAAAAAAAAAAAAAAAGAAAAGAAAAAGAGTTTGCATCTTGTGCTGGCCTGTGCCTGCTCTGGGGTCACTGTTGTGGGTCCGCCTGCAGAAACTCATAGCACTTGGTGAGCATGTTCAGCTTCTCCTCCAGCTCCCCAGCCAGCTTATTTAGCTCCTCAGCTAACTCTGACTCCGCCCCCTCAAGCAAGTGCTTTGTCCCATACGCGAGGTTGACCACATCCAGCACAAGCAAGATGACTCCGCTGGCCATACCCACAATCTTGGTTCCTCTGCTCAGTGCCAGGGCCGGCCTTTCGGCAACTCTCTCCGCCAGTTCGTCGACTTGAACTGAGGGTCGCCCAATGACCTCGGGGGGAGGGGCAGATGGCGCCCATCGAAAGTTGGCTCTGGCTCGTCTGATGGCACGGATGTGCTTTCCAATGCTTTCTATGAGTTTGTAAGAATTGTTAGGTATGGAAAGAAGGTTGGGTGCGTTCCCACCCATGAACTCCTTGGCCATCTTTAGCATATCAGCGTTGCTGCTTTTGATCAGACCTCGGCTTTCGGCTATTGCCTGCCCTTTCTTTGCATATTCCACGACATCGCTGATAATCCCAGTCCCAGCAGCTGCAAGTCCCAGCCCCGTTGCAAATTCTGACAACCCAAGGCTGAGTCCGTCTGTCACGGGTGCCAGACCCAGGCTGAGAAGATTCAAGAAGAAAGACATTGCACCGAAAGAGCTGGCCACCACACTGGCGACGGTAGTGCCTCTGTGGACCTGCTGAACCCCGTCTGCAAGAACACGGACCCTGCTTATGTGTTCCTCAAGCCTCTTTTTCAACTGAGGAAACTCTTTCAAAAACCACTCCCTGTGCTGCTGATCTTTATCACGCCAATTTTTGTCCTTCACCACCATGTATCTTGCAAGATTGTACAGAGCTTCACGGAGCTCATCTGCCTCAGGCCTGCACAAGAAAAGGTTAAATGATTAAGAAATGCAGTTTCCCTATCTGTGAAGTGAGCTCGATGAGATCTCTCTCCTGTGTAAATTGCAGAGCTTTCACTATCAATGAAACGGAAACAAATTTTACAAATGGAAAGAATTCTCTTTCAAACTCAAACATGTTTTGTTCGTCATCGACACTGCTCAGCACTCATTCAATACGCAAATAAATACCCTAAGGGCATCTCAGATGCTCTTTCCCAGTAGATGTTTGATAAAGATGCCTCCTCACTCAAGGGCAGCTCAACACCACCCCTGCCACAGTGTTTGGTGAGGGGAAACTCTGCAGATGAAGCAAGGACAGTGAGAGTGGGACAAAGACACCTTATTCCCAGGATGGCAGCAAAGGGCAGCACGAACTTGAACTTTCCCAAAGAGAGCTCTTTCCTTTGTCCTCAGCCCCTGGGAAGTGATCTCCAGGCCCCTGGAACGTCCTGCCTGGTAGGAACGTCTTCTTTGCCTGGTGATTTGGCCACGGGACAGAATAGCGATGTGATGGATGATGGGGTTTGGGGCTATCTGGTGTCTTTCCTGACTTCCAGAGGACCTGGGGACTAAAGGGTTAGACCTCAGGGAGGGGCTGGAGACTCCAGGTCAGCCATGAGGGCAGCTTGCGATCCAGCCAAAGCAAGTACTCTGGACACTAAGGCATGGGTTGAGAAAAACCTTCTCCTTGACCAAACTCCAGCTGGGCTCTTCCAAGCCTCTTCTCCACGAGGCACCGGCCTTGGCCTTCCATGACCACACACTGCTTCCTGGGCCCACATGGTCCCAGCTCTGCAAGACTCACTCCAAGTCGGTTTAGGGAGGGTCCTACCCCGATGCTGTCTGATCACCCTCTGCCATCTCATCACACTCCTCACCCCCACCTTTGATGGGTGAGTGTCTGACCTGCCTTTAGGGAGAGTCCTGTTAGGCCAGTTTGGCACCAACCCCCCACTCTGGTGTCTCCTGTCAGTCCTGTTCCATCTGGCGCCCCTCACCCTGGTGTAGGCTGTCACTCCACCTCTGTCTTCACTGTATTCGGAGCTGGCCTCAGTCTCCCTCCCCTCTAACAACAATCCTGAATAAGGGCTTCCTTCCTGATTCAATGTGATTCACAGGAATTTTTTCTTAAGTGGGTGAGCTTCCCTGGTTGGCAACACCCCGTGTGTTTGACCCCACATCAACAAGGTAAAACACAGAATCCTGAGGACAGTGGAGCTTCACACCAAAACTCTCCCAGACTCTGCCCTGTGTTTCTCTTCCTTAGGCTGATTTTAATATGTCTTCTTTCCCTGTGATAAACCACAATCGTGCAATAGCAGTTTGTGAGTCCTTCTAGTCAATTATAAAATCTAAGGATGATTTCAAGAATCTCCATTAATTTGTAGGTGGTGTGAAAGGTAAGCGTGCCTTCAGACAGTGCAGTCTGGCTACCTCTGAGTACTTTGAATTTAAACAAAAACAAAACCTCAGAGAGACAGGGCATCACTTTGCCTGGCATCTGCTACCTTCCAATGTCTTATGCTTTTGACCTCTGCCTGAAGGCTACTGGTCCAGGCACTGCCCCAGCTGACTGGAGTGGAAGACCTGACTATTAATTCTGGCTTCACATGGCCCAGCCATCTTCCCACCTCTTGACCTACCACCTGCACCCCAACCTTCCAGGCCTCACTCTCAGATGTCACCAGCCTAACTGATGCCTTAGCAGTGACAGTTTCACCTGTGTGTACGCCAAGGCCATGTGCAATTTTATGGTACCTCTAGAAGAGTCAAAACACTTTCAGAACCATCTATATAAATTACTAATGCTGAAAAGACCTGAATTTGGACAAGATGGTAGAGGAAGTGTTTTCCTCATTGGTTGGGGACTTGTGAGTCTGCTCAGTACCACTGAAATCACACAAATTGGCAGCAACTCATTCTACCTTGGAAATGGTCGCTACGGCACAGGGCCTTGCCATGGTCAGGGGCTTCTCTGTGTAGAGGAGAAGCAAGTCCCAAAGGGTAGCCCAGAACTTGCCAGTTCCCAGGCAGGGTGTGACGGACACAGGCGACCATGACCATCTATGCCCATGAGTGATGGGGTCAATCCAGAGAGGGAAGAAATATCCCTCTCCCACTCATATGTCCTCTGCAAGTTCATGACCTCCTTGAGGGAAATAACATCTCTCTCACACGTGTCCTTTGCAAGTTCATGACCTCCTTAAGTTTCCAGCTCTTGGTGCCTGTTTTGCCACACCCTAGTCCCAGCCCTGGTGCCCCAGCCTTCCTACTTGTCTTACAACCACGGCTGACTCTTGCTCCATCCTGACCACTGGCTCCGACACTTGTCCCAGTCTCTCCGGGCCTTTAGGCAGGATCTTGGTGCTTGGTTCCCCACCTTTGACCTGGAGTTCACTCTAAGGCCTTTACCATAAGCCTATCACATTGAGACACTGAGCTGCTATTTCTAATAGACAGATGGCAGTTCCCAGTCTCCATGACATAAGCCTAGAGCCCAGGGACTAGGCGCAGACAGAGCCAGAAGAAACAGCGCTGTCCAACTCCAGCCTGTCAGCACCCTGGGCCAGCAGAGGGGCCTGTCGTGTTTACAGATTTCCTCAGATGAGAACAAGGGGCCCAGTGAGCATCCCCAGGAACCCACATTGATGAGGTCAGGATTTTTCTGACTTCTCCCAGAGGAAGTCCTGCTGGCTCCCAACTTCAATAAGAAAACGACCTGGTCTCTTTCCACCAAGCTTGTTAGACGTTAGTGTTTCCACCAAGCTGTGCGCTTACTATCTGTCAGTCATTATGCTAAGCACTTACATGTATGATCTTATTTTTCTCACAATAAAACTCCATGGATGAAGAAAGGCTGAGTGATAAAGTAACTCATAAAGGTCCCATCACCAGCAGATGGCAGAAATGACCCTGTCCCTGTGGGCTTCCTTTCCCCTCAGCCTGAGGCTACTCACTTGCCAGTTTTAAAGGACATGGAGGAAATATTTGTCCTCGACTGCTGAGAAGGTCATCCTCAAGCCCAGTAGAGGGGGCTGCCTGGAGGAGGTGTGCCTGTCAGGGAAAACTACCCCAGGGGAGATCTGGGTGACATCACTGGGGCACCCTGTGGATGCAAGCACACAGAGGTTACCTGGACAGTTCAGCAGCAGTCACAAATCTCTCCCAGGCTTCAGCGTCAGTCAGCAGTTGTAGCAGCTGCTCTGTGCTCATTCTGTCCTGAATATACTTGCGGGCATCCTCAATAAACCTGCTAGTATCTAGTCAGAAAGAAAAAAGGATAATGTTGAAAGAAATTGTGGAAGAGCATAACAGCCATTGCATAAAAGGTGGTTACACGGTCATGTTCCTGGACAGCTATGAGGTGGGATATGGTGGATGAAGTCATCAGTGCTGTAGATGGAATTGTGTGCCTTCAAAATTCGTATGCTGAAGCCCTAAACTCGGGTGACTATATTTGGAGATCAGGCCTTTAAAGAAGCAATTGAGACTGAATGAAATCACAAGGGTAGGGCTCTAATCCTAGTAGAGGACTAGCGTCCTATTGTAAGAGAAAATGACACGAGAAGCCAGGTGCGCACACAGCACAAAGGCAGCCTCCGCAAGCCAGCAAGGGTGCCCTTCCCAGACACCAACCCTGCTGGCACCGTCACCTGGGACTTCTTGCCTCTGGAACTGGGAGAAAATTAAAGCCGGCGTTGAAGGCACCCAGCCTGTGGTATTCTGCTACAACAGCCTGAGAACACCGAAACGCCAGGGGAGTGCCACGGTGCTTTAGGGAGGAACGAATCCTTTTCAGTTCGGAGCCAATAAAAAGGGAGGCTTCCAGGCCAAGGGCCACGCGCCTCTTTGGTGTCAAGCACTTTACACCAGTGTCTTCAAAATATGAGATTCAACACATCATTGGGGTATGAAGTTTGTTTTTTGGTTCAACAGCAACGTTTTAAAAAGAAAATCGAATGAAAATATCAGTGTGCCACGCACAGCAGGGGCGAGTGTTGTTTATGTGAGTTATTTCAAATATGTAAGCCTTAACGTAAATTCCTTGTTTCAACAGTGAAACAAGCAAATATTCACATTTAATGGGATAAATAATTGTATTCCTACCAAGAACTCAAGGCAGTACAGAGCAGGATTACTTCCAAAGTCAGCTGCCCCCATGTGTGCTTTGCAGCGATATGGAAATTAGGGAATGGCAGATCAGGGACTGGGGACCAGTATGTACATGTGTGTGCACTGAGACATGATGTAAATTGTTTCCTGCTGTGGATGTACAAGAGGCCTCATTCTTAATTCACAGAAGAAGAAAGTAAAATCCAGACAGCGAGAGTCACTGCCCAAAACCAGCAAGCAGGAAGCTCAGGATCTGACTCCAAGGCCAACGTTTCTGTGACACTGCTTCGAAGACTCCTTATGTTTGCAAAATGCCTCTGACTTCGGCATTCTCCCGTACAGCTTACCTGTGGTGCTATTTAAAGTCTGTTTAAAAATAATGTCTCAAGCTCCACAGCATCGAGTACAACTACCACGCAAAGGAGATTTCTCCTGCTGGTCGTGGGTGCTCTCAGATGGGCAGTGGAGGGGGTTCTTCCGTGGGTCACGGGGGCGGGACCCTCAGCACTAATCCTTGTGGCCCCTCTGTGTCCTCTGTTCCTTTCAGGCTGGTGTCAGGGTACACGGCTCCCCACTGGCACCTCTGGACCCAGCTGACCCCTTTATTAAACCACAGATCATTGCGTTTTGGAGGGAGAGTTTTCCTGAGCTCCCCAGGACAGCCCTTCCAAGGATTCCTGGGTCATCTGGGAGGTCCTGGCTTCTAATCTTCCCTGTCCTCCCCTCGTCTTGGACAGGACTCAGCACAGCCCAGTTTGCTGTCCAGGGCGGCTGCTGAGCAGATCTGACTTGGTTGCCAAGGCAACTCTGTGAGGGGAGGAAGCCGTCCTGAGGAAATGGGGCTTAGGGAATGAATGCAGCGCTGCCTTGGCTGGGCCGGGGCTTGTCCTGTTTTCTCTTTTTCCTTCTTCACCAAAAGCAGAAGGGTTAGAGGGTTGGAAGGAGGGAAACTCCAGCATTAAATTTGTTTTATTGATGGGGGGGGTAGTGGCTACAAAAGCAAAATAAAAATAAAAACCGGGCCTGAAACATTCCTGGACAAACAAAACCAACCAGGCCTTCAGGATGGCAGTAACCCCCCTTCAGCTGCACGCTGTGGACCCCTACTGGGTCATGTGAGATGCGTGCTCACGTTAGACACAAACAGAACTTAACCTCGGCCAGGCATGAGCAGCCAGCTCACAGGGCCATGCGGGGGTGGGACAGTGAGAGGTCACAGAAGAAACAGGAACTCCAGGCAGCAGGTTCACACGAGGGACACAGAAGGAGCTGCTGGAACCAGCTGCAGGGAAGGGGGAGGGGACGGGCCCACCGGACCCCGACAAACACATGTGGCCAGTCCGGATAAGACCAGTGAGATCGACCTCGGTGCCGGGTCTGGCCCACGTTTCCTGCCACACCCGATCACATCCTCCTTGTCTCACTAAACCCACCCGCCCGCGCCACGGCAGTTCCGTGTTTGCTACAGAACCGCGTGGCCCCCCAGTTCCAGGAAATCCCCGCCTCTGCCCAGAAATCCTCATGCTGACTCTGCCCCTTAATTTAGTAAATCCACCAAGACAGAAACCTCAAGCCCACTGGGCCCCACCGGCCCTTCCGAGGCCGCCGCACTCCCACCCCGAGCCTGCCTGCCGCTTTGCAGTAAAAGCCGTTTCGCTTTTGCTTTCACTCAAATTTTCTCTCTCAGCGGCGTGAAAAAACTGGACGAGGCTAAGGTCCGGTCTCACCTGCTCTCAGAGACCTCCCTGAACCCACCGGCTCCGACGGGACCAGGAATTTTCCAGCAAGGTCAACCACAACAGGCAGTTTTGTGACTGGAACCGATCAGATAACGTCCTGACCGCACCTCCATATTCACCCGATAGACACTTTTTCATCATAACACCAAACCTCCTCCAGTGTGGCTTTCTCAAGTCATGAATTCCTTCTTATTCAAATCAATGTTATTGTGCCTCAGATGTTTCTTTGACCAGGGGTTTCTGAGATCATGGGAATGAGGCCCTGCCCGAGGCAGTCATCCCTGCTGAGCAGGTGCCTGTGATGAGCAGTGCAGGGCGGGTGCCCCGACACAGCTTAGGGGAGGGGGTGGCTTCCATCTGAAATCAACAGGAGACAGGTAGAGGGGATGGGGGAGGCCCTACTGTGTGGCAGGCTCTGGCTGGGCCAGGTACCCGTGTAATATTTAATCCTCATGACAACACGGAGAAATAGTATCGTGGTGGTACAGGTGACGAGGAGTAAAGAGCTCCAGGCCACACAGAGGGGACGTGGCCAAGGCCAGAATGGGGTCCAGTTCAGCTGGGCGCTAGGTCACTCTTCCCACAGGGGCACTCAGAGCAGAGGGGTTGGTGGAGGCAGAGCAGAGGGGTTGGTGGAGGCCAGGAGCTGCAGGGAGGAGACCTGCCTTTGCTGGAAACACCCCAGGGTCAGCCAGAAGCCGAGCGGGAGGTGAGAGGTCAGGGCTGCTGGTCAACCTCCTCTTCCACCCCTCCCCTCCTCCTGGCCCCCGCCCTCCCCTCCTCCTGGCTCCTTCCCTCCCCTCCTCCTGGCCCCTGCCCTCCCCTCCTCCTGGCCCCTGCCCTCCCCTCACTCCCCAACCCTGCTGTTTCTACTTCCCCAAGGTCGTCCTGCCCTACTTATTTGCTAGCTGCCAGGGAAGGGAGAAAGTGGGCACCTGAGCCCGTTCCCCCTCAGGAGAGGTTAGGACGCAGATGCCCCCACAGACCCCTGGGTTGGGGAACCCTACGTGGCCTCTCTCGAGTTCGGAGCAAACCCAGGTCCTTCTTCACCTGGGTTACTCTGGGGCTCACTCAGGTCTGGAGGTGCCACCCGTTATTTTAGGTGTGAGTAGGAAGCAGCCAGGGAAGAGGATTCAAGCCTACCTGACTTTACAAATTCAAGAAACCGGTTATGGACAGAATTGCCTGGGAGTTCTCCAGCCACTCTCTCGCCTGGAAGGCTCTGCTCCATCCTTAAGGAGAAGAAAACAAACTGTGAGATGGAATGTGAGCCACCTGTGGGCAGAGGGAGGCTCCAGCAGCCGGGCTGTGCAGATCCCTCTGGGGTGGCAGCAAATGCCAAGGCCAACCTAGCCCAGATGGTTTCTCCGTCACCTGCCCCCATCACCTGCTATTTACAGACACTCACCTCGCTCCAGCTCCCTCTGCCCTCACTCCCACACCAAGGCAAAGGCAGCTTGTCCAGCTGGGGTATGAGGAGAAGATAATCAGAGGATGGGCAGCTCTCTGACAATGACAGAAACTAGAGTCTGTACACAGAAAGAGAGACGGAAAGGAATGTTGTGACAGTGACCTGGGCCTGGGCACGTGTGTGATGACTGATGGATGACAGCCAGTGTGTGCTGAGTGTCTGTGCTGTGCAGGGCTTCTTCCACGTGTCTCACTAGATGACCACACACAGGCCAGGAGGTGGGGGCCACTTTCCCATCTGAACACAGAGGAATCCACAAAAGTTAGGGAACTTGCCAGTGTTTTCACAACAGTGCTAGAGCCAGGACCCCTGCCTCAATCCCACATCTTCAGTGACTCTGCTCTGCTCCCTTAAATAATCCACACTAAGTCATGTATTCGTGCTCATTGTACATGACGCCTCACTGCAAATCCATGTCTCGCAGCTGTGCCCAAGCCTTCGTCTTGGTGAATTCACGGTGCTGCAGTGGACAGTCGGGGCCCCTGTTGCTTCTCTAAGATCCTTCGTCCCACAAAGGCCTCGATCCTGCCAGATGCCGGCGCCCCTGCTGTGGCTGCTGCGCCCTGCTGGTGCTGCCCTGTTCCCTCTGCTGTCCACCCCTAGCTGATGGACCTCACAGTGTTTCTAATCTTCATATAAATTTGGCTACAAAGAACATCCGCTTTCCAGAAAAACTTTGCCCACATCTGAGATGATTTCCTTAAGACATTTGTAGGAGGAGAGTGACTAGGTCAGAGGCATCAACATCTCAGAAGCTTTTATACCCAGAGCCACACTGCATGCAAACTGTGCCAGTTCACACTCAGCCTGGCAGTCTGTGGAGACGCCCATTCATTCAGTCTTACTAGCTCTTGGCAGTCTCTTCTTCAGGACCAAAAATATATACACAACATACAAATATGAGAACTAAATGTACTTGTTACCAATACAAATTAGGACAAAATTTAAAGCAGAAACCTAGCAGCTGGGATGTGAAGCACTGAACGAAGGAGGAGCAGGATTAACATTGTCATTTTTAAAAGAGGGAAGTTAAGAAACGCTGGGTACACCTGAGGTTACAAGAAGAAAACGTGTAAGTCAATTGCT